AAGGTAAGTTATCTATGTATGTACCATATAGTAAGCTTGTTTAACAAGCTACTACATGAAGTTAACTTGTTCCATAAGCTACCAACATGTGGTTAACTTGTTGGCCAAGTTTCTAATCTACAAACACATCTAAAGTCATAACCACATCTATGAAGCTTCTAGAAAGCTTCCCTATAAGACTTTATAAAATTAATCTATATTTACCTACTTCTATCTAATCATAGAAGTAACTATTGAGATAAATGTACATATCCATGATAATATTATCTTAAGAACTATAAAGTATGTAATGCTATAATATAGAATTATATTCATGTAACATATGTATGAGTTTATTATCCAACCATCAAAGATTCAAGAAAACTGATTGCTTGAAATGAGCCTTGAATTTTGTTCTTATAACAAAAATCTATACTCTATTAGTATGGACTTTCAAGTATAAGCACATTAATAACTAATTTAGACATCAAGGTCTAATTGACATATAGATATTCATCTTATTAGGCAATATGACAGCTTAGTAGGTGACAATAACTATATATGGCTGCTACAAGTTGTTAATCAATAATGTAATTTCAATTGTCTATAGAAGTAATTGCATAATATTTAATAGAAATTATACATGCATATAAACACTCTTTTAACAAAAATTATAATAAAAATAATGAATTTATTAGTGATTTTAATAACACATTTTTTTATTGTCTTAAAAGTTCTTTACATATTTTTTTAATCATTTGAAATGTTACTTTAAAACTAAAAAAAAATTAATCTCAAAAGAAATAAAATTAAATAAAAATAAATATATAATTTTAAGAAATATTAATATCCTTAAAATAATATAAAAATATAACTATACTCATTTAGAATTATTTTGAACTTTTGGCACTTTTTATTAATCAAACAAAAGAAATTATGTTTAAAATATGGTTTTTAAAATAATATTACTTCATTTTAATATATTTCTTTAATAAAATTATATACTACTATAAAAGTTATGGAGTCTCTCCATACATGTAATAATAAAAATATCATTATTTTAATATATATGATTTTATTTATTTTAAGATAATACAATTAAATGTAGACATACTTTAAATCAATATCTGTGTGCATATGTATGTATGTATGTATGTATGTATGTATGTATATACACAGATATACAACATTATTTATTTGTGTTCCAGTCTCTGATAAAAACTGTGATGGTAAAAGTGACCAAAAAATTGATGGTTTTTTCTAAAATATTGTTGGCAGGATAAACATAAAACAAACAGAATTTTGGTTTATATTTGTGTAAGATTTTAAAGTATATCAAAAACCAAAACCATGGGATTTATGTAATTGCAGTTTTAAATTTACATTTTGAAATCATATATGTTTTTTTTATTATTATTATTAATATTACTTATGCAGGTAGTTTAGTACTGCAAAGTTTAATTTATATTTATTTACTTTTTAAAAGTGATTTTTATACTTTTATTTTCATATGATAAAATGTACTAGTGTGATTCTTAATTTTATTTTTTTTATTATAATTTAATATTGTGATATATCTTATTATACATAAATAACTTGCTTCACCATATTGATTCCAAAACAAAGCAAGGGTTTACATTTACCTAACAATGTAACATGTATTTTAAATTTTCTAATACTAATGTATTTACATCTTCATGTATTAAAAAGCAAATATGATATGTTGTTATATCATATTCCGAATTGTACAAATTTAATAATATATATATATATGCACTTTCATTCATGAAAGTTGATTGATCCATGATATTCAACCCACTGAATAAGTTTGATCTCAAAGATTGACAACATACTATGCACACCTGCTTTCCAGTTCACATGCAATCTTTATATGTTTTTTATGCACATGTGCTCTGCACCAAGTTTTAACTTTCAATTTTAATGTCCAACAAATTATTTCACATAAGTCTGCACTATTTGGTATAGTTTAGTTTTAGATTATACACATATAGTTTTTTGATAGATTCAAATTTCTTAAATTAAATTTTATCAAAACACGAATAAGGGTAGAATTTGTCAAGGCACACTTGTGTGTGTCTTTGTCAAACTGTATTTGGATGGATTTGAAACGTTTGAAAAATTCTCACATTCAAACACAATTATTAACACGTCTTCTCTCACAAGTTAAATTTAAAATATTACATTCACGACTTCATCCTAACAAGAGTTTTAAAGATAATCCAAAATACATTTACCACATTTACACTGGCAATCATCTCCCGCGTAATTTGTGATTTTATTAGAAAATTGTGTCCCCACTAGTTCTACAGGGAGTTCGGAATATTGATGGTTGTCGTAAAAGGAAAGAAAACTATTATTAAAGAATAGAAAACCTGCATGGATGTCACCTCAGATACAGGCAATGATTCTGTAATAGGTAAACGCAGATGGGCGCTGACAATCTGGTCACATCTATTGCTATAGTTAGTTTACTGTTTTCTGAGTGGCTATCCGTGTCTGTACCGATACTGTCTGACACTAAAGTCTCCCTATTCTTAGATCTTAAATGATCAGCTATGTCTGATCCGATACAGCCAACCATTCTTCGTCTTCTTCCACTAAGACAAATGTGTTGGCTTACCTCACAGACATCAACCTCGCGTAGAAAAAAAACTCAAGAATGTTTTTATATATCACTGTCGTAATTCAAAAACCATTGTTCATGCTTAACAGTGTGGGTATGAAGCTAGTAAGTCAAATAGAAAATAGAAAGACGATGCACATGGCTGACTTGGAGTTCACTGGATTTGGTTTGCGTTGGAACTTTTGAATAGCATTTCAGAAAATAGTCATGGTGGGCTGTAGCGGTAATGAAGAAGTGGGTCAAAGCCGGTCTTTTGGCTATGTGAAGCTTTTCTTTTACTTCTGAGGCAATACAAACAATTTTTAGACCAGGCTTACAAAAGCACGAATAATTGGAATTTATTCAAATGAAGAAAGTGGGTAGATTTCAAAACAAACATATATGCTTTATTTAGTATCCAATAACCCAAGGTTAATAATAATAGCCCAAACATGCCAATAACCTAAAAATAGCATAACCTGGTATGCATCCCTGTCCATGTCTGTTCATTTCCTTGGTTCTCCTTGTGAATTGTTGTGATTCTGGTAACCATGTTGGTTTTCAATTGGTGCTCTGGCATTGTTGGGAGTGTGAGGAGGTCTTGGTGGTGCTGAATAATTGATGCGTCAGAATTAAGGACAGTACAATAAATTAAACAAAATCCTCCTTTACTTTTTATTTTATTTTTAAATACAAATAGAGAAAATCTCCATTGCATGAAAGTAAGTTACATATTCCCAGCCAGGTCTGGCTAGGATGTTAGTTTACAGAGAACTGACATCGTACCAGACAACTATTTTCTACAACCTTTTGTTACATAATAACAAACAACTATTTCCTATTACCTTTCTTGCCAAGATAGTTTCCACTTTGGCTTGTCAACTACCCAACTTGCTAACATCTGGTTCATACCCCATAGTTGACGAAATTGTTGAACGTGATCCACTGTGAGGGGTGGTCTACGTCTCATGTTTTCATGTGTTTTAAGCCATGCATCCCTTCCATAGTCCACTACTTGTAGCCATGTATGGTGATATAATTGCTCAACAGACCAAAAAACACCATTAAAAGCCGCATCATTTCTTTTGATCTACAAAACCCACATCACAATTCCATGTAACAATAACCAAAATCGGCTAACCTTCTTGAAATGCCTTGATATTCTGTATGCAGTGGATCCAAAAAGGTTAAAATTATAAATGTCGAATTCCTTGTGAGGTTCCATCCCTTGTGCTCCATCTCTTTTGGTGCTTGTAGGGGTAGTTGATTTACATACCCTTTGTTGAGTGAGTCAGAGGAAGCAGTGGTTATGTGATGGTGACAACTGCTCAATAATCAAATTAATTATAAATTCTTAGTTATCTCTATGCCAAGCCCCTATCCATGTAATCTAGTGTTACTTTTAGTTAAGTCTAGAAACATGTATAAAATCCAGTGTTACTTTTGGTTAAGCCAACAGACATGTATAAAACCTAGTGTTACTTTTGGTTAACCCAACAGACATGTATAAAACCTAGTGTTACTTTTGGTTAAGCCAATAGACATGTATAAAACCCAGTGTTACTTTTGTTTAAGCCAACAGACAATTGTTCAATTGGTACAAAACAAGTAGGATTGGTCTAAGCAAACTTGCCCAAACTAGCCATTGTTGCTACTAGTTTTGGCTCTACCTTCTTGCCATGTAGAGCTCGTTCTATGAACATTCTTTCCTTAGATGTCATAGTAGCACCTATGATGACATCAAATGACATAGGTGCCACTAATGGATGGACCAATCGAGCCTTGAGCATGTATGCATACAAACCCATTCTCAACAATAGACTCAATATTGATGAGTTACTACTTCCCTTGGCCAAACAATTTATACATGACCCTAAGGTTAGATGAAGTTGGTGGTTTAGTGTGATAGAGGTGGTGGTTCAATGTATTTTTATGGATGGTTTTGGCTAAGTTTGTATGTTGGTTCAGGGGCTCAAAGTGTAAAGCCCTTTGAATTTTTATACCAATTAAACCACTTGGGCTTTTTTTATTTTTTCTTTTGGAGCACATGAGAACCTTATTTCTCCACCATTTTTTTTTTTTTTTTTTTTTTTTTTTTTTTCTCAATCAACCCCCCTCCCCCCAAGATAGCTGAAAAACTTAAGTTGTTGGGTTTAAGGTATTCTGACATACAGATGTACCAAATCTTGTTTTTATTAAAAACAAATTTATTATATCTTGAAGGGCTGCCCGCCCCGCCGGATCCCCCACGTTCCCCTGCTCGCTCCGCCAGGTCCCCCGAGCTCCTTGCTTATCCCACGCGTTCCCTCCAGCGCTCCTCCACGTTCCCGCTCGATATGGTTCTATGACGCTGAGTGCAAGTATATATACCCCCCCCCAAGTTTCTCTCGAAAGGGCACTTCGTCTCTGCACCTGGGTTCGTTGTGGCACTAGTTCGAAGTATTTGGGGAGGCTCTTGAACTCTTTATTAGCGTTGACTTCGACGGAGCGAACTCTATCCAGTGATGGCGTCGTCCATGGTGATCGGCAGATTGGCCCCATGGTAATCTGGAAGGATAGATTTGTGCGGCTAAACCTACCACCCCGTCGTAGAAAACACGAGCGCGTTCTCAATAGAATGTTGAATCGGATGATAGTGTAGCTTCAGCCCACATGACCAAAACTCAACTGCTTTACTGGTATGATAACCATATCATTTCACATTCAGAATCTTGTCATAAGCTTTCAACAGTTCGTTGGTATTTTGTGCACTGTCATTGACTGTTTCGCCTTCGTAGATGCAATTATCAGATCTATGTATTTGTCTCTGTTGAAGTTTTAAAGTTTAGAAATTGTTTTCTATTACCAATGTAGCGCTGCGTGCTACATTCCTAGAAGAATCTTCGGGAAGCAGTGTCAGTGTCACTCCGTCTACCAGGCTTCGATCACCCCTGCTAGTAATGGCGCCATCCCGCGCACGAGCTAATGAGTGAGTTACTGTTTTTTTATTAAATCTTCAGTTCACCATAGAACTGAGCTACACAAGTTCCTTCTGCACATGAAAGATCTAAGAGAGGTATTAGAGCATTGGTAGTGTTGGTCTTAATCACACTCAATGTGTCAACTGAGTTGTGTCAATAAACACATCCAAAACAAATCTAACGCAGGTGATGACATGGGTGATGATGTAGGCGACAAGTGTCGAAACAATCGGTATATAAACATAAATAAAGTTCGGCTTGTCTGTTTTCTTTTAGGGTCTTTTGATATTAATATTAATGTTAAGATTATTTAATTGAACTTACTACTTAAATTAGTTCTAGTTTTTGTCAAATATATGGGACATTTGTTTGGGAAATGTCAATCGGAAGCAGAAATCCATACAATGGGAGCACAGGAGATTATAGGGATGTCTGTCCTCGTGAGTACAATCGAGAGAGTGTCTAGTAGCAGATCAAGTTCTCAAGTTTTGAGTGACCCTTGGACTGCTGCCTCGAATGGGCCCGTTACCATCCAGAATGGCGATGCTGTTTCCGAAGAGACTTTCCACGGTAAAAGCTCTCCATGTGAGAGAAGGTCTACAACTACATCGCATTCAAAATGTCACAGTGAAGAAGTGTTACAGGAGAAGTCTGCTGACATCGAGAACAAAGACGCACCATCAGATATCACTGGTGCTCCATCGGTTATCAATGATGAGAAATCATTTGTACACGACTCTGCCAGTAGTTCTGCTGACACAAAGGAGGTGTCCCCGAAAGAGAATGGCACTTCTAAATTTGCTGAATTGCCAAAAGAAATGGCTGAAGCGATTTTCAGTCACCTTCCTCTCCGTGACGTGGCTATCATGCGGTGTGTTAACAAAAGTTGCAAGCTTATACTTGGTCGCCCGACGTTTCCTGAGGAGCGAAAGAAAGTTCGTGGGAAGGATACTGAGGGCAACTTCAGTCCCCACATCTTCAGCACAGACGATAAAGGCGACTTGCATTGGTATAGTTTTGACTCCAAACAGAGAAAATTTGATCAAGTCCCATCACTCAACTTTCAAAAGGATATCTTGCCATCGCCGGATCCGGAGCTCTTCAAAGACCATCTAATGGCACACGCAGAAGGTCTCATTTGCATTAACACAGGCAAATCTCCCGGTCCCGAGAGACTGGTGGTATGCAATCCGGTCACTCAGGAGGCTAAAGTCCTTCCACCATTGGGACACCCACGGCAACCAGTTCTGATACACATGAGAACGGACGGTGAGGACCATTACAAAGTCGTAGTCGCTGGGAGTGCTACAGCTGGGACAGGAGACCTGTCGCTCATTACCGAGGAGTATTCATCCAGAACGAGTCTTTGGACCCGTTCGGAGCATTCTGATTTACCCTGTCCCCAGTTCGGGCTCAATGAGTATCAAAACGCTGCCTATTACCGATACAGAAATAAAGAATATCTCTTATGCGTAGTTATCCTCTCCACAGGGGCAAGGGGAATACTATTTTATGATTTGGAGATTCAGAGGTGGATCCAAGATGATAACATGAAGCCCCAAATACCTGTCATTGTAAGGGATGAAACAACTGTTGCACACCTTGCCACAACCCAAATTCTAAACTGCGGCCATAACGTGTTCGTATACAGCGAGCAAGAACTTGGAAAAGACGTGTTTATTTGCATTCATAAATTATTTCTTACTCCTTCTGGTGCGACGTGGAGAGAAATCGTGCAACGCAAGAGGCCCAGTGGACGGGGACTGCTGGTGTACCCCGAGTACATTTGCGCCCCAATCAGCAACTACGAGCTGTGTGTGTTCAACACGATTGAGCACAGTATGGAGATAATTGATGTAAACAATCCGTCAGAAATTGTTCCTTTTGGGACAAAACCACGATTTATTGGAAATCCATTCCATACCTTGAATCCCATAGGATTCATGTTTCAGCCCACTTTCCAACGTAAAGTCTGTCCAGGAAGTAACACATGTTCTGCATTGTGCAGCGAATGTAGGGTGAAGAAAACCGACAACACTGTGAGAGCTCCGCTATGATTCACACAATTCGCATAACTATTGGATGTTGCAGTTACGTCCACACATTGCAAAGTTCGTGCGAAAGAATGTTAAAGAAATGCAAAGGGGAACGTCAACCGCCCGATACACTGTACTTTTTTTCGTTTTGAGATCATGTTTTATTCCCACTCTAGTTTACTCTAGTTTATTATGTTTTATTTAAAGGTGGACCAAGTACCCACGTGTGGCCATGTTTTCTATAAAATCAAAGGTGTCTGCACAGAAGTTGAGTGCACATAACAACTGCGTGGAAGCATCATTCTCAAATTTTTCAGCAAATCAATCCAACAGCAGCACACGTATTCCGGGATATGCTGGCGTGAAACCTGAACTGTCTGACGCGTCATTGATACTTTCTGCATTGTGTCATGGTGTCTAATGATTTATATATATAAAACTTTATGCATATATACAGTGACAAACAAAACAGAGTACAAAATCTGAAGTGCCAACTTTCAAGAGCAATTACAGAAATTTCAATGATTGCTTTATAAATCTGAAAGTTACATGGAATAATACACACAATCTTGTACACATGTACAAAGTTGCACATCAAATTGATAACTAAACATCCTTCTACAAAGTCAAATCAACAACTATATCTTGTACTCAGTATTGTTCAAAGAAAATCTTCAAACTTCAATATTTAGTCCAATAACCTTTTGCTTCCAAAAGAGCTGAAATCCTTCTTGGCATAATTTTGTATAGTTTCTCACAATCTTTTGCATCAAAACTAGGGTAAATACTACAAACATTCTCCCACAATTCTTGAACACCTCTTGGCCTTGGAGTGACTTGGCTTAAACGCTGTTTGAGAAGGGCCCAAAAATGTTCCATTGGATTCAAATCTGGAGATTGAGCTGGCCATTGAAGGAGCTGAAATGGCTATGAAGAGAGCCAAAACTGAACACTTTTTGCCGTATGTTTGGGATCATTATCATGTTGAAAAACCACCTTAGTAGGATCTAAGTTGTAATTCTGTGTGGTACTTTACAAGTAGGTTTCTAAATTTTTTTTGTACAAATGTTGCTCCATTCTACCTTCAATTTGATACCAAGCACCCTACCCAAAAGCAGTCATACAACCCCAAATCATAATTGAACCACCACCATGTTTGACAGTTTGACTAACATGTATAGGTCCAGGTCGTTCTCTTTCTCTCAACCAACACCAAGACCTACCATCTGAGTTGATTGGGTTAATCTTTGTCTCATCACTGAAAATAACCCGTCTCCAATCATCAACAGTCCAATTTTTGTATTTATGAGCAAAACTCAACCTTGCAAGAACATGTCTTTTGGCAAGTAGAGGCTTCTTTTGTTGCACACAAGCACCCAAACTAGCTTCTCTCATACCATGCATCAAGGTGATGTCTGAGAAGTGTTTACCTGTTTTTTCTCGAAATTGTTTTGCAGCTGCACTTGCGGTTTTGAGACAACCAGCAGTGATAAGGTGCACACCAAGTCGCTTCTCTTGCTCTCTTAAAACCTTTGGACGTCCTCCTCTTTGCTTTTCTATTTCACCACTAATCTCCCTCCTGAGATGAGCTACTGAAGATTGACTCATTCCAAGTGAGTTTGCAACTTTTCTTGTAGAAACACCATTCCTAAGCTGCACCAATGCTTGGTGCTTCAATGATTCATACAACCGAGGCATAGAGATACAATTGAAAAATCAACTTTTACTATAGATAGTACACAACAAGAGCAACACAACAAACAAAAAATGCCCTCAAATCTTGCAACAAGGAGTGTACATTGAAATTTCGAAATTCAGCAAGAAGAAGCAATCAAAACTGAGTACGCACATCTGTGTGCTTCTACAATACTTTTCTCATAAACCCTACCTCAAATGATAATGAGATTTTTCATCCATGTAGAGGACTGGATGAATATACACAATAAAAAAGTAATTCTATCAATTGACTTATGTGTCAGTTGGAAGGATCAATGAACTATGAGTGTTCAGATTTTGTACTCGATTTTGTTTGTCACTAAATATGAATATATATATATATATATATATATATATATGGTATCGGAAGTCATTATGTTACATGTGTCTTCTTAAAGTTGTAATAAAATAATTCAACCTGCAATCATCATAAAATTAAACAATGTTGATATATGTTCAAATGGGAATGTGTCGTCATATTTATTGCTGTGACTTTCATTAGATGCCACATTATGGTGTATTCTAAGTAAAAAATTTATGGGCAAATTATGATGAACATGTTTAAGGTAAAATAATCTTCATATTAGAAACAACATTCAAATTTGAAGTTAAAAACTATACAATGTAAAAAAAAAAATCTACTTTTAAAATTGGAGTATGTCTTGACACATATATATATATATATATATATATATATATACATATATTTTGTAACTGTGTGTGTACCTATCTTTGTAGTCCAAATATCATGAATTTTTCTAAGAATATATTACTTCAGAATAATATTGCAACCATGTATTAAAATTATTATTAAAGAATGGTCTTTTTGCACGTACAAAATTTGGTATTAAAGATGTAGAACACATCAAAAATCTTTCTTTGCTATTCAATCTACAATTTGAAATTAATTTTAAAATTTTATTTTAAAAAAATATATGCAAAAATAATTGAACTACTAGATTATGATGTAATCTATAAGAAAAAAATATATTATTAAATTTTAAATTTTATAGATAATGATTTAAAAAATAATACTATCTATGATGTGAAGTTAAGAAATAATTTTATATAAATAGATATTTGCATGATAGATATTGAGTAATATTTTTTACTTTTTTGGCCAAAGTTTTTTAATTTAATTATATAATATAAGGTATATTTACAATATAAACTATTTTGAATAATTCTATTGTTTAGTCAATTTATCAACAACAAGAGCATATTTTGTGTTACTATCAAAGACATGAATTACAAACAACAAAAACCTCAATACACTTTTGTGTGACTAGTAAGAATAGATATTTATTCAAAGATAGTATAATATATTAAAACTAGAATGACTATTGCTAAAAAAAAATAAGACTAGAGATTTCAAAATAAGACTAAAAATAAATAAGGAATTGACAAGAGTAAAGAAAGTCTCATTCTTGCCTCTATATATACTATCTCATTAGAAGCTACACAGTGACATTCAATAGGACCTTTAACATATGTCCAACTTGCATAACAAGTTTCTTAAATATATGCCACATGGCCAACTTGTACCAAAAGCCACCAACATAGCCAATTTGTTGGCCAAGTTTTCAACCTATCAATTACTTACAAACACATATAAAGTCAAATTTGCATCTATAGAGCTTCTAATATACCTTTCTATAAAATATTAGTAAATTTATATATTTTTATGTATTTATAATTAACTTCTTTAATTTAATTATACATATATATATGTATACATTTGTGATAACTATATAATATATTAGTTAATATAAAAATTATAATTATGACCAATATATATATTTATATAAATAAATAGAAATAAATATCAATAATAAAAGCTTTAAGAATATAAATAAATAAAACAAGATGTATATTGAAGAAATATGATAAAGAAGAAATAAAAAAGATGAATACTTAAAAAAGAACTAGAATGATTATTCTTAAAGACAAATAAAATAGAGATTCTTGAAACTATAGTAGAAGCAAGAAAGGTGTTGACTAAAATGAAGAAGGCCATGTTCTTCTCTCTCTCTCTCTATCTCTCTCTCTCTCTCTCTCTCTCTCTCTCTCTATATATATATATATATATATATATATATTATTGAATTAAAGAGTTATGTAGTGATTTTTTATAGGTCATATGATGTATGTCTAACTTCCAAGGTATGTTTTCAATATGTGTGCTATTTGGCCAATTTATAAAACAAGTGGTTATTATGTGCAAAATGTAACTAATTTGTTGACTAAATTTTTAACCTTTAAATTATCTAGAAACACTTGTAAAATCAAATCCATGAAGCTTTTCTATAAGTTATTATTAAACATACTTATTTTTACACTCTTCTATCTTATTTTTTTTTATCTTAATAATTACTACTGTTTATATGAATGTCTATTAAAATGAGTAGAATTAGATAGAAATATATTAAGAAGATAATATATTCATTCAAAAAAATTAATAAACTTTTCAAATATAGAATCCATCTTCAGATTTCTATAGATATACCATATGGTTGTCAATACTTATTACAAAAGTTTTATACACTTAAAAAGTTATATTAAAAATAATCTATAATTAAAATTTTAGACCTTAAATCTTATTTTTTTTAATTACTAATATATTGTTAAGAAGATGAATTACAAAACAAAAAATGAACTAATACACTCTTATATCACTAAAAAATAATAAATACTCATTTAGAGAGAGTTAGAATATTAAGATTGTAATAGCTATTGCAAAAGATAAGAAGACTAGAGGCTCTTGAAACAAGACTAATAAAAAAATATTTATTAATAAGAATGAAAAATATTTTATTTTTGCCTATATTTATACACTATCTAACTAAAGATGTATATAGTAATATTATAATATGTATTCAATTTAAAGTTTTATAGATTTATGTTCTTAATAATTTAATAAAATTAATATATATATATATATATATATATATAATAATTGAGCTTAACTTCTCTCAATAAAAAAGGTATACTACAACTTTTTTTTGAAAGCACTTTAATATTTTTGAGATTATAGAATATTATTTTTTAAATTAATATTAATTTTATATTATTATTATTATTATTATTATTATTATTATTATTATTATTATTATTTTTAATATAAAAAGCTCCAAGCTCTTAAAATTAAGAGCCAACTATACATTCATTCTTTTTCAACTATCATTGGCTATAAGTTTGACTTACTAAAAGAGCCAATAGTTTGAATTCAAAAGCCAATAGCTTTTTTAATATATTATTATTCAGACATCGTCCATGTGCTTTTTTGAGTCATATTTGTGTGCTCACAATTATTGAATCTTAGACATATATTACTTGTTCTTGTAATAATGTAAAAATTTACACTTGTAACATCAATTATTGATGCAATAGAAGCGGCTCATGATGTTCTTCAATTTGTTCTAAAAAATTATCTGAGTAGTTCGAGTTGTCTATCAATGGTAGTAGCTGCTAGTTTTTTAAGTCACCAATGCTAAAAAAAAAAGTCTATGGTCAACTCATTAGTTAGTGATATAAGAATATTACAAATCATATGTACATAAGACAAGCAAAGCGTGCAATGAAATACACTTATATATAAGATTGTAGTGTTCAAGAAGTGATAAGCCTTTTCAATCTCCATCTCTACCTTCTTGAGAG